GGTAGCCATGCGTCGCGTGCTTCGCCGAGTTATACGCGTATAGTGCACTAGGCAGAAAATCGTCCCAATCATCCCTGCCCTTCGCCCACATACAGACTCACGATGTCCTTCCAGGTTCTGTGAAAACGTTCAACAAGTCCAAGCAGGTTCGGTCGGTACGGCACCGGTGTCGACTGCTTCGCCTGCAATAGCTGCAGCAGCTCCGCCGTCGCTTGACTGCTGAACTCCATCGCGCCGTCCATCATGATCTCTTTCATGGGGCCGAAGACCAACACCACTTTCTCCATCAAAAACCGCGCAATCTCTTTCGCCGTATGCTCTGCGACAGCCTCCGCGACCGCGTATCGCGTCGTGTACTCCACAGCAGCAATCACGTATCTCTTGCCGTTGGGCGTCACCGGTAGTGGGCCGGCAACGTCGATCGCCCATCTGTCGCAAACATCTCCAGTGCGCACACTCCGTAATGGCGGAACCACTGCTTTCGGTCGTGCTTTGCGCGAGCCGCAATCTTGACACGCTGATACCCAGCTGCTCACCTTCCTGCTCATCCCAGGCCACCAATACAACCGGCGTAGTCTCTCGTTCGTCTGTGGTCCCCGTAGGTGACCCGTCCAGATGCTGTCGTGCGCCTCCTTGAACGCCAATGCCCAGTACGCCGCAGGCAATAGGATGCGCTCTTCCCCAGGCGTTATCCCCACCTTCACCATGCCGTCCTCGTCCTCGAATACGCGCCGTCCTCGATACTTTCCTTGCTCCTTCAACTTCTGCACCATATTTGATCGTCCTTGCTCTCTCTTGATGTCCTGATCAGTGAACTGCACGAAGCCTAACTCTGCGCTGTCGACCCGATTCACCGTCGCTACTCCACTCGCTTCTGCTGCTAGTCGCCCAATTTCAGCCGCTACCTCGGCCTCCACTTCGTCACGGGAGCGCACCTCTTGCATTCCTCCGATGTCGGGGTCCTCCTTGCTCTCACCGTCCTTATCAGTCACTGCTGCGTCACCTGCTGGTTCTCGGGATAAAGCGTCTGCCACGTGGTTTTCTCTACCCGGACGGTATAGAATGTCGAAGTCGTACTCTTGCAGAGTGAGCGCCCAACGATGCAGTCTACCCGCCGGTTCCTTCGCCGTCATGAGCCACTTCAACGCAATGTGGTCCGTCACAATCGTGAACTCCCTTCCGTAAAGATGAGGTCTGAACAGCCTCACTGCCCACACTACTGCCAGGCACTCCAATTCTGAAATGCTGTAGTTGGCGACCGTCGGACTATTGACCTTGGAGGCGT